CAGCAGACGAATCCAGGAAGGAAGACAGAGCGAAGGGGGGAGGGGCGGCCGAGAGCTGCAGCGGCCCGAACTAGGCCGCGGCGGGCCAGGCGGAGCGCACTAGCGTAGAAGAAGGCGGCAGCCGGGGGCACGCGGGGGGCGCGGCGCACCAAATAGGCGCGATGCGGAAAGGAAAAGGAGGGGGGAGGCGCAGGCCGAGACGGCAGCTGGGTGCACAGGGCGACAGGGAGGCAGGTGGCCAGACAGGCCGCTGCCAGCACCGCAGAAGGAATGACTCAGGACAGGTCAGGGCATCGAGTCCGCGCCAGCGTCAGCGTCGGCGTCGGAGGCATCGTCAAAGTCGGCGTCGGCGTTGGCGTCGGCGTCAGCGTCGACCGAAGGCGCTGACTCCAGCGTCGTAGCTGATGACTTCACACGCACATCCCAGCATTGCGGCCGATGGAATTGGGCGCCAGCTTCGCCCCCCGCGCCGCGGCAGCGCCAGAGCCGGCTGCCACTGCTTCCCCTTCTCGCGAGCACTCTTCCCAGCGTTATAGCTGATGACGTTGGGCCCCAGCTTCGCCCCCAACATAACGCAGAGCCGCGCCGGCGCCGCCCCGCCGCAGACCCTCCACGCACGCGCTGCCCCCAGCGCTGTAGCTGATGACGTCAGGTCCCACGTCCGCCGCCCACACCGCGCTGGGCAGACTCGCCATCCTGGAGACGGGGGCCCCCAGGCTGAGGCACAATCCACACTTCGGGCGGAGGACGCACAAGGCCCCCCCCCTCCCCCCCAAGCCCCACCCCACCACCCACCCACCCGCACGGGAGCACCTGCAGACGAAGAATACAAAGGCTTAGGTACAGAAGAAGAGCCTGCAGACGAAGATTTAGACACAAATGTGGTGGCATTGTCTCCCGATGAACTGGTTCCAAGTGGAGCTGGGGTGGGAGTCACAATACCACGGATAACAACATTTTGTCCACGCTTCGCTTTCTTGAAGTGCACAGCCTATGTGGATGCAGCCTCCTCGGGAATATAGAAGTCCACATCAGCCCCATCAAACGAACCACGATTCACCTCTCGAAGCTCTTCAACAGGCACACCAGGAGGCTCGGGCGGAGGAGGTGGCGACATAACATCACGCTTTGGTGGCGGTGGCGGCAACGGCACCAGGGGCACCACAGGGACGTCCACGGGGGGGGCGTGGACGGCTTCCCTGTCGGCATGGGAGACAGGACGGCGCCACGGCTCTTAGCATCGTCAGCAGACACCCCAAGTGCGGAAACTGCCGACAAGCACACACAGCCGCTGCAAGTAAACAAAAAAACAGTAGCAAGGCGATGAGCACAACAATGCAGGGGGCAACCTGAAAACGGCTGATACGGAAAGAGGACGCCCCTGGCGCTGCACACTCGAGGACTAACGAACGATCCGACAAGACTTCCACCTCGCACCAGTCCCTCCACCCTATTACTGAGAGGACCAATTCGCGACCCAGAAGTCCTACTAGATCGAAGCCCAAAACACAGCCGCCTATCAACATCAAACCATTGGACAGTATACGATGAGACAGAACACCACAGTCAAGAAGACGAATCCCACACCTGCAACTTCAACTGTAGTGAGTACACACGGAGGCACCACAGCGGAGATGTTTGCTGTAGGGAGAACAAGTCGCCAGTCGCCAGAAATTGCTTTGGCCTCCAATGCCCAGGACGAGCGCCACGTGCCATGAGAATGGGATCAGAGAGGAGGGAGGGAACAACGGCCCGGGGAGGGGGTAGCATACGCGGACATAAGTACACAGGACACGGAGGAGAACAAGCCTCGAGCACAAAGGGAGGAGGCGAGTCCAGCGATCCGAGACTGCACTACGTCCTACAATTCACACTCGCAAAGTACCCTAGATGCCCACGGCCAGCAGACGCTGGCACGCCAAAAGTTCAGCACACGCAATAGCGCTGGTAGGAGAAAGCAAGAACGATTCAGAGGCAACACGTCTCCAAGTAGAGATGGAACCAGAGGAATCAAAGCAAGGTGAAGTAGAAGTAATTAAACATTCATCGATAACCCACCTGGCCCCAACGCCATGTTCAGATCGGCCCCCATCGAAACTCCCACGGAGAGCCCCGACCAAAGTGTCTGCAGCTTTCAGATTTGAAAAGTAAGTCTCGTCGAACCATAAGCTGCACCGACCCCCCCTCGCTTCCCACGGCATCTCATCCGCCTCAGTGTTGCCACCCCGACATATCCACTTACATATATTACGGCCAAGGCATGGCGGGACGAGGTCGATGGACACAGACAAGGAAAGCAAAGCATCCTGAATCTCCGCCACACAGCGAGCAGAGGACGCATTAGACGTGGAGAACAAGCCTTCAACCCGACGGCAAGCCGCCATCGAGCCCCCCTTCAGTTCAGCCGCGATACATCCTGGCACCACATCCCACTTCGTCTGATCACGCCAAATGTGATCCAATCGCACCGCCAGCCTCGCCTCCTCCATGCGGACAGTTTCCTCCGACTCAGTCTTCTCCTCCTCAGCACACCCACCCCCCGCAGAACCCGGCTCTTTTGAAACCCAGCAATGAAGCAACTCAGATATGCAAAGAATCAAACACAGAACGAACAAAAGCATGCCAACCATGTTCAGCCCAGGAGGGCAGCCCCCACCGTCTTCCTCCTCCAACTTTTTCAGACAGCGCCACCTCAAATGCATTTCCCGCCTGACCCACGAGCTTGCCTCTTTGACGGGCGAGCCCTAAGTGTGTGCCGCGAGCGCCTCGGGCGCGACCGCCAGGAGCCCCGCCGATTTTTCACCTGAGAAAGTTCACCCCTCTCCCGCTTCCGAAGTTCCACATTCCCACTGCGTTGGTTACGCTTTCTCCCCCGACCGAACTCCGCCTCAATATCAACGAAGGATTGCGAGCCGCCCGTCACCGAGATCACAGGCCCACCATGGAAGTGTTGCGACCCATCACCAGGAGGCACGAGAAGCTCAGGCGAAGAAACGCAAGTTAACGCAACATCCTTGGCCCAGCGCCACTGTCGGAAGAGAGCCAATTGCACCAGGGACGGCCGTTTTGCTTCAAGAAGGGCCTGGCGCCCTCGGCTGCACACGCGCTGCAGAAAAAGAAGGCGCAGTTCATCCTTACGCCTGGTCCGCCCAACCATGCGACATACGCACTTCCCCTCTTCAGTGCGAAGGTAGCGCAAGGCCAAGGCACCCAACGAAGCCCCTTCCAATCCAAACGACATGCGAGAGCGCACACGAGCGCCATGCCTCCTGATGTTGGCATGAAGGGGAATCAGAAGTGAGGACTAGTTCTTATCAGTCCAGAACGCCTGAGAGGCACAAGCAAGACGACGGCAGATATCGTAGTGATCGTCACAAATGCGGCACATCAACGTACCTAGCAACGGCATACTGCCCTCTTGTGCAATTGTCAGCGACCGAAAGACAACCCCGTCTTCCAGGCCTGGGGGTCCTGCGACGGGAGGACGATAGTGAAACGAAACATCCCACGGTTCCTTACCGTCCCCACTGACATCCATGTATTCCAGACTCGCAGGCTGCCACTGGAATCCCGATCGCTAGGGCTCTGGACTCAGTTCCTTGAACATATCTGGAAGGCCCTGACTGGAGCTGGAAATAAGAACAATAGTGTCTGCCCAAAACAAGTGGGAAACCACACATTCCACATTCGGAATCAGCAAGCGGACTCCTATAGGATCACCCCTCCATCTACGAAAGGTACCCGCCAACATAGCAACGCACTGAACTTTCCAGAGTGGAGGACCCTCGTAGAGCTTGAGCCAAAATGGCTCGTAAATCCTTGGTTTGGCTCGGTAAGAGCTGGGGAATTCTGTTGAACTCTCTGGTTCAAGTTCGCGCTGTCCTGTGTTAGTGTCTGGACCTGCCGCTGACGCTCAGCGAAGGCGATGTTTTCCTGCTCGATCATTTTCTGATGTAGTTCAAATACTATCAAATACTGGCCGAGGTGAGCCCACAGTCGCTTCAGTCCCGCCACTCGTCAGAGCGTCAGCAGAAGCCATCCAGCAAGTGCGCCCAAGGACTCGTCTGTCACGTCGACCTCCTACCAGTCCGACATCGACTCCTCCACTGGTGTCCCTCTCGGCGCCCTCGGGGCCTTGCCCTTGCCCGGCCCTAGGCGTGGCTGGATATGATCGCGCACCAGAGCGGCGCGCTGGACAAAGGCGGTCTGCAGGGAACCGCGTTCCGCTGCCGTGCAGAAGCTTTTTGACAAAAATGAGCTGCGGAGCGAAATCTACATCAACGCGTGACGCATGGTATCTAACGAACAGATGCTACACTTGATTATACCGTGGGGAATGTACAGTGCAACCTGCCAACAACTAAAAGTGGCAAGCCGCGAGACTGAAAATTGGAGATGAGCTGTATCAAAGGGCCGTGCCACTGTAAGGGCTTCGAGCGCGGCGAATGGCTTCCGAGACCATACACAAACACACACGCACACACGCGCGCGCACGCACGCACGCACGCACGGGATCCGCACACAGATCAGACTCCACGCGCACGCACGCACGCACGCACGCCCGCGCACACACACACACACACACACACACACACACACACACACACACACACACACACACACACACACACACACACACACACGCCGCGCCGCGCGCACGCGCACGCACGCACGCACGCACGCACACACACACACACACACACACACACACACACACACACACATACACGCACACAGACACACACGCACACACGCACACACACACACACACACACACACACACACACACACACACACACACACACACACACACACACACACACACGCACACACGCACACACACACACACACACACGTGGGGTTCCGCACACAATTGGAGCTGCATAAGTGTAGGGTTGCACATGCGAAGATCCACACACAGGATTACACAAACGTAGGGATCCACACACATAACGTCCCACACATTGGGTTCCACATACAATAAATTCAACACACATTGTTTCGCGAATCAACTGTTTGGGGTTCACGGACTGACGTTGTTGCCAAATTGGCGCACACACTGGGCGATCGCGTCAGGGAAAATACTTCGGATGTTGTGTGGCCCGTAGCCTGCCACTCGCGGCAGTGACTGCCATACAATCAACACCTGCAACAACAAGGCGATACCAAGACGGCTTATGCACTGGACGCCGTGAAGCCGAAGTCCAAGACGGCACTGTCACCTCTACCCCGCAGAACCTCAATGTGCACTGCCCCGCAGATCGGCCACGCGCGTTGGAATCCCACCATCCCTGTACGGACGGACTCAGGACAGGATAACATTCCAACAGAACACGAGACCCAGCGCGGGCCAAACCGAATAACATTCGAGGGTACCCTCCCCCTGCATGCACAAGAGCATCCAACAAACACGGATACAATCAGGATACCCTCCCCGAACCGACCTCGACCGAAGGGCTCGATTGGTTTAAAGCGTTTGTTATTCCGACCACCGTCTTCCCCTTCGGAGAGGGGCTCAGTCACTGCCCCTTACTTTTTATATATATATATATATATATGTTACAAAAGCTTTAACTAAAAAATAAGAAAATACTCCGCTGGGCCTCCCAGGAGCCCACGAGAGTGGCGACGCTTAATTACGTATTTCGCAGCCCCCTCGGAGGCCGCGAGGTCTTGGCTGGGCGTGCGTGCTGGACCTCACAACACCGAACGAAAGAGGCGATGGTGGCGCACTTCGCAGCCCCCCGGTGACCCGCGAGGTCTCGGATGGGTGCGTTTGCAACTCCTCTCCAGTGGGCCCCCCAGGAGCCCACGAAAGTGGCGACAATTGCGCACTCCGCAGCAACCCAGGGAGCCGCGAGGTCACTGCTGGGTGTGTTTCCAATCCGCTCCGCTGGGCCTCCCAGGAGGCCACGAAAGTGGCGACAATTGCGCACGACGCGGCCACCCGGGGAGCCGCGAGGTCTCGGCTGGGTGTGTTTCCAGCTCCACTCTGCTGGGCCTCCCAGGAGCCCACAAAAAGTGGCGACTGTTGCGCACTCCGCAGGCCCCCAGGGAACCGCGAGGTCTCGACTCGGTGAGTTTACAGCTCCACTCCGCGGGGCCTCCCAGGAGCCAACGGTTGTGGCGACAGTTGCGCAGTTCGCAGCACCCCAGGGGAGCCGCAGGGTCTCGGCTGGGTGCGTTTACAATTCCACTCCGCTGGGCCTCCTAGGAGCCCACGAACGTGGCGACAATTACGCACTCCGCAGCCCCCCAGGGAACCGCGAGTTCTCGACTGGGTGTGTTTACACTCCGCTCCGCTAAGCCTCCCAGGAGCCCACGAAAATGGCAACAATTGCGCACGTCGCGGCCACCCGGGGAGCCGCGAGGCCTCGGCCGGGTGTGCTTACAACTCCACTCCGTTGGGCCTCCCAGGAACCCACGGAAAGTGGCGACAGTCGCGCACGTCGCAGCCCCCCAGGAAGCCGCGAGGTCCCATCTGGATCCCCGTGCAACTCCACTCCGCGGGACCGACCAGGAGCCCACGAGAGGAGGAGAGAGCAGGCGAGAGGAAGTAGGAGGCAGGAGAGAGGAGGGAGAGAGAGGCGGAGGAGGAGACTCGACCACAGAGGTATATTGGCAACGAGAAGCCAACACAGGAGGGCTGGGAGCAAAAAACCTGAGAGAGGTCCAAGGAAGGCCCAAGAGGGGTAACCCGCAGAGGCCCTGGGAGCCCTCCCTCAGAAGATGGCCCCCAAGACCCCCAACTCGCTCTGAGAAGCCCCCTAAAACCCCACGAAGGTCCCCCCGCGGGGGCCTCGACAAAGCTCCGAGAGGCCGCCACTGGGGCCGCCAGCAGGCCCCGAAGATGCCCCCGTAAGCTCCAGGAGGCTTCAGAATCTCAAATGAGACCCCATAGAGATTGCCGATAAACCCCAAAGACACCCCCCTGGCTACACGATGGGGGGCCTCAAGCAGACACTACAAACCGTCCCGTTGTCCTCGATATCCTCCTCCTTTTCCTCCTTCACCCCACAGTCGTCGTTATAGATGTCATTATGTTTCTCCTTCCCCCTCAGCATCGGAATCCCAAGATTAAAGGGTAGATCGACAGTCCGCGACGTCACTCTGGGAGCGTCTCGCTTTACGAGCGACGCGCAGCGTATTTCAGTTCTCCCGCCCGAGGAAGCTCAGGAGAAGTGAGCCCCATGCGCGGAGCAGCGACTGTGCGGCGGCCACTCCTCCCACGCTCCTGGACACCTGAAGGCATCCCGTGTGCGCGACGGCGTCCAAGAAACGGCCAGCAGGCGCTCAGGACGAGGCCTCAAGACGCCCACCAAGACGCCAACGAGGCTTCACTTCGTCTGGGTGTCTTGACGATGGAAGTGTTCCAGGATCGCGTCTCAGCCCATCAGCCTCGCGACCCTTGGGCCCGTGTGCCTGAGATACCGACACTGAAACTGCTCCTCTCTGGGCTTCTTCCAGACCAGGAGTCCAAGGCGAATCCAACCGTAGCGACGAGGGCTCCTCGGGAGGCCCAACAAAAGCGAAAACGAGGGAACGGTGTCGGTATCGGCATGTTTTCGCCTCCGAATGCCAGCACATGACGTAGCCATTGGACCCAAAACCGGAGACGACGAGGACTCGCTTCGTCCCATTCGCCCAGCGGAATATCGGAACGCGCCCATGCTTGTTCACTGGCCGGATACCAGTCCAGACCTCCAGCTTCCCCTTCTCGACGACGGCGTCATGGACTGTGTCTGCATCCACTCCGCGCGTGTCACCGACAGAATCGAAAACCTTCTTCATGAACTGATTGTTTTTGAACTCGTCAAGACGATCCCAATTGATGGCGAGAGGATCAGCTGGATCGAACGGATCCGCGATGCTGCCAGCTCGAATGCAGAAGTTCCCATCCTTGTCAGTCCAGGGCCTGATGAACTTTGTGTCCACGGCATCGACGAATCCCATCTTCAAGAAGCCTGGGGGCATTCGTCCTGTGACCGTATAGCCTTTCACTCCGTATATCTCGTCCACGGGATCCTCAATGCCGCTGGCCTCCAGCAAATCGCCAGGGTGTCTCGCGGCCCCTACCGACACGATGGCAGCATCAAATTTCGTAGTGGAGACTGACGGATGCACGACAACCTTGCCCAATGTGTCAATCTCATCCAAGCGAGAGACGGTGGTGTTCACATAGATCTTGCCTCCCATGGACTCTACCTTCTTTGCTAAAAACTGCACGAAACGGTGAGGATCGATCGCGCCTTCCTCCTTGGACAACAAGATCCCGTAGTAGTTGCACCCCTCGTAAAGAGGACAGAACCATTCGCTTTTTTCAAACTCGGCCTTCGTAAAAAAGATCATCGAGGGGTCGTCTTTGAACAGCTTCTGATTCTCTTTGAAAAGCTCCTCGTCCAAGACGTACATCAGGCCTTCGTCATGCATGATAGGCTTCGCGTCCGGATTTTCCTTCAGGAACTCAGCATGAGCCTTTCGAGCTTCAAGCATGAGCGCGGGCCGTCGAGGATCTGGGTCCAGGGCTTGCCAGGCAGTTCCCTCGACATAGTCCTGCAGGCCACCGAGCCCCCCCGCGAGAGGGTCCACGGTGCCGAGAAACTTGAGGCCTCGCCTGACAGGTTTCCACATCGTGACTCCTGCAGGGCCGTATGCCGTGCCTGCCCCAACGGTATCCCTCCGCTCGAAGATCTCTACGTGCTGCCCCTTCTTGGCGCAATAGTACGCACATATCAAGCCAGCCAGTCCCCCGCCGATGACCGCCACATGCTTCACGTCTGGCAAAACCACCGTTGTCTCTGCCGGATTCTTGTTTCCGCCGAAGCACGTGACGAGTTTTTCCCTGCATGCAGATAGAAGGTTGCCCATCTGTCGATCTGGAGATACTGGTTCTCCTTTCACTTGGGCAGTTGGATATCAATAAACTTGAACGTGCGCTCGAACTGCCCTTTGAACCACAATGCGACAGGGTATTCGTTATTGCGTTATCCGAGCAAACCCTAGCAAAGAACACAACGACCATGCGCGAACATGTGCCATAGCTCCTTGCAACGAAAGGAGCATGGAAATGCATCGTGAATCCCGCCAGCCCTCTGAGCGTAGTGGTTTGACGAGATTCCTCTTCAAGCTTCCCCTTCCTTCCCCCTCGGGGAGGTTTTACCCATTCCCCTACCCCTGGGTCTGGTGGAGGGGGGTCGCGGGTAGTTAGGGTGTTCAAGATGACCTCAACGAGAAAGCACTAATGAATCATTTCCCTTAAATTTGCTGCCAACGTTGGCATTGGCCTCATGGGGAGTGATGCTAATCCGCGCCGCCCCCCTTTTTGTTACTTGCTGGTCTTCAAGATGGCCTCAAGACGGCCCGAAAAGCCCCTAAGAGAGCCCCATAAGGGCACCAAGAGGCCCTCAAGAGGCGCCCACGAGGCCTCGAAGAGGGGCCCAAGAAGTCTCTAAGAGGTCACCAAGAGACACCCTAAGGGATACGCGAAACGTTCAGAAATTGCATCACGGGCAACAGTGACATTCAAAGTTGCTTCATACGCTGATGGTACATTGGAGCCTTTCCACTCTACCCTGCTAACCACCTCAGGCTGGCCCATGGCTGGCCCGTGACCCAGCCCAATCCTTGCCTTCTTCCCCCTCCCTCAACCTTAAGCATTCTTGCCTCTTCCACCCCTCCCCATGTCCCTTGCCTCCCCATTCTGCCTCGTCTTGCTCCCTTTGCCCGACCCGCGCTCGCACCTGGCTCCCCTCCCCTCATTTCTGCGCGCGTAGTCTCCTCCTTGCACCACACCACTCCTTGTGAGCATCGGTTAGCCGACCCCTATCCCCATGGGCGTGGCCTGGGCCCCACAGGCCGATGTTACCCCCCTAGATGGGGAGATGGGCCGTTTCCGTCGGGCTTGGGGGGGGACATCCCCAACTGGGGTGGCAAAATGATGGGGGTCTGGACAGGGATGGGGGATGGGGGATGGGAGTCGGTTGAACGACACTGACCTTCACTGGCACCGTCCCCTCCCCCGTGCCCTCAGGCGCTCCAGCCTGCACCGGGGAGCCTCCTTGGCAGGCACCCTCGGGCGCTCGGGCCAGCCTGGCAGGCGCCCTGGCAAGCAGCACTCCCCTCCGCCTGCCTCTCTCCCCTTGCCTCTCCCTGCCTCCCGCCCCCCTCCACTCACGCCTGGCCCCCCCCTCGTCACAGTACCCCCCTCGCCCTTCCCATTCTCGCACTTGCTCCCACCCCCATCTCCGCGCCCCCCCATTCGCCCTCCAGTGCCCCCCTCTGAGGTACCCACCGTTTGCCCCTTCTCTTGATCGTGCCTACTTATTGCTTCATCCCATGCGCTCCAAGTGCGAAGAATCATCAGCGGCCCAGAGTCGACCAACACCCCGAAAGACCAACAGTGCAAGGGAAACCCTGCAGAAACACTCCATTATTGAGCTGACTTTTCCACTGCGCGTAGTAGAAACGTTGTGCAACACGAAAGGCGTTCTTGCAAAAATGAGGAGGCAGATGAGGGTCACGTCGAGATAGTGAGCCTCCAGATCTCTCAACCCGTTCCCCGAGGCTATCCCTTCGTCGCGGACCACAATTTGGCACCAGGCCCGAAACTAGCCCCCCGCAGCATTCGATTAACAGCCCGTCTTGCTGTTTTTCGTGACGCACGGAGGTCCCCGTGTGGGAGCCCAAGACCGATCTCCGAGCCCATTCGGCGGGCGGGCCCTGACAAGAATTCCACCAGCTCTCTAGGCGGTTGGGGGCGACAGTTCTTCCAACCCCCTTCCTCACTTCGGGGAGTGGTGTACCACTGAGTCTTACTATTAAGCATCCCCTCCCCCATTCGACGGGCCGCCGACCAACCAGGAATAGTGAGGACCCTCCCCGTCATCCCTGTCAAAGAGCAGTGCTAACGCGTGGCGCCGAAGCACCTAGGAGCATCAGCGGGCAGCCCGCTGGCTGCTTACAGCGATGACGTACTGGATCACATTTGCCCGCCTTGCACCCGAAAACTGCCCGCGCCTGAAGCCAGCACAAACTGATTGCTGGTGCACGTGCCGTACACCATGCTGATCACCCCGCCGCCACACTGCACTAGCTCTCGGCAGGGACGGCGGAGGAATGTTCACACATTGCCTTATGTGTGCTGTCACGTGCACTGGCGCACCTGTCGCGCCGCCTGGAGAACCCCTGCACGCATCGAGCACGCGCGCAAGATGAATTCGCTGGCCGATCGGGCCAGAGGCGTGTTCGATCCTGGCAAGCAGGCGCCTCAGGTGAAGACAGCGTCAAGCGATTGCACGTGTAGTCCGCGCGCGCGGGCGCCCCTGGAGGGTCCGCGGGCCTTCCTGGGGCCGAAGTCGCCCCAGGAGTGCCCCTTGAGCGCCCAGCGCGCGCGGCTCCAAAGCGTGCCAGGCCCCATGCTGGCCAAGAGATGGCCCCGAGACGGCCCCGACACGGCCCAAGCTGGCCCCGAGATGGCCGAAGAACTCCTCCTCGGAGGCTCCCCAGAAAGGCCCAAGTCATCAAACAAAAACGGTGCTGCTGTGTTTGGCCTTCTCGCCTCTGTGGACTCCAACGGCTTTCTCGGGGCCCGAGGTGGCCCCAAGAAGGCCCCAAGCGACCCCGAGAGGGCCCCAAGACCCCCAGGAGGGCCTCAAGAGGGTACCAAAAGAGCCCCGAGAGGGCCCAAGAGCGGCCCAAAGATGTGGGCCAAGGGGCCCCTGGCCCAAAGATGGCACAGAGATCGCCCCAAGACGCCCCCCAAGATGGTGAGACAGTGGCCTCAAGGCGAGCCCAAGATAGCTCAATGGACTGCTGGGACACCTCCAGATGGCCGCGTACACGCTCCCCGCAGGCCCCCAGGAAGGCCTGAGTCATAAGCTCCACCCACAGAGCTTGCACTTCGAGCTAGGTTGCTCCCATCGTACTTGAGGACCACATCACAAAAATCCGCCGACCCTGTCGGCGTGTGCGAGGGGCTTGGCTGTTCGAGTCGTCGTCTCCGTCGGTCGTCGCCTCCGTCGTCCCCTTTCCCTGCAGCTTCCTTCTCAAGCTCGTGAGCGAGAGAAAAATCTAGCAGTGTCGTAATCGAGTCGAAGGGAGGCCCCTTCCCTTTGATCCCTTCCCCAGGTGGGGGGGTCCCGGGGGAGGGGTAGGGGGGGGGGTCCCGGGGAGGGTGGGGGGGCAGATTCGTTTTTCCTCGGGCGGCCTAGAAACCTCGAAAACACCCCAAATAAGGTCCGAATGCCCAAGATGGCCCCCGAGACGGCCCAAGAGGGCCCCGAGTCGCCCAAAAATCGGCCGAAAACTCCCAAGATAGCCCCCAGACCGTCCAAGAAGCCTCCAAGACGTCCCAGGCCCCCTCCAAGAGACCCCCAGAAAGCCCCAAGAGGCTTCCACGAGGCTTCCAAGCGGCCCCTAAGAGCTTCCCAAGAGGCCCACAAACTACCCCCAAGAGGCCCCCAAGAGCGCTCGTTGTCGTCGTCGTCGTCGTCGCCACTCAGGGTCGGCGGCACCGGCCGTAAGGCCTTCGCAATAATTTCGAGCACCCAGAAAAGCGTCGAAAGAGTGTCGAAACAGTGTCGAAACAGTGTCGCACGAGTGTCTCCCAGGGCTCGACACGTGAAAACCATCGAGTTTCGGTACTTTGCTGGTGCTCGAAATTCTCTCTGGTGATCAAGGATAAAATAGGTTGGAACATCATAAACGTCCCTGCTAGGCTGTTACGTTCGGCAAGATTTCTGGGTTGACGGCTTGCGCACGGCCGTGGGCGACCGACTGGGAGGTCCAAGTTTCCACCCGGTGTCTCGCCGTGGGCGCCTCGTGGGCGCCCCATACGCTGACTGCGATGTTCGGGCTTCTGGCGCTCTTCCCATACAGCTTACACCGCGTAGATGGCACAGAAGAGCCTGCATCGCACAGTTTACCCCACATAGTCTGCACCTCGAAGCTCAAACCACACAGAATGCACCACGTATGGTGCATCACACAACTCGCACCACATAGACTGCCTCACATGATTGTAACACCTAGCGTACACAACATTGAGCTGCACAGCATGCACCACAGAGCTTGCATCGGATAGCTTGCACCACATAATTATGTTGAGCCACATAGCCTGCACCGCATAACTTACACCACTTGTAGCTGAAACCCTACAAGTTCTACCTCGTCGGTTGCGACGATCCACGAATCACGATCCTCGAGAGAAGGCCCACGGGCGGCGGTTTTATGAAACAGGTTTCCCAGATGTGGTCGGAGCAGGTGGGGTCCAAGGATCGTGCCGAATGGTCGATACACCACCGACACATCGGCGATGTAATGGCGATGCATCGGCGACGTCGGCGATGCATCGGCGACGTCGGCGTGGAACAAAATTGGGCTCAACATCGGGCCGCATCGGCGATGCGGCGCGACCTTCCGACCCCATCTACTCTGACCACGTCTGGAAGGCCTAGGTTTGTTCTCTCTGGTCCAGCAGTGAGCGTGGTAGGACCACGACCCACGAGCCTCGATCCTCGAGGGCCTCGATCCTCGATCCACGAGCCCAGCGAGCTCGAACACCTCGATCCCTTTCCATCCCGTGCATTTACCGGTTTCGTACGTGTTTGTTTACTTGCTCGACGATCCAAGATGCTCCTCGATGGTCCACGCCAGAAAAAATGCACACGTCCGAGCGATGTCAAGTAAGCCCGCACGCCTCGATTCTCGAGGGCCTCGATCCTCGAGGGAAGGCCCAGGGGCGACGATTGTCTGCTCTGCTCGGACCAGCCAAGGGAGACATGGCAGAAACTATCTGCCGCAGCGCGTCCCCTGGCGCACGCCGCTCACGGCGCGGCCGTCGTCTTGCGCGCCGTTCCGCCGGCGGAGGGGGGCGGGCAGCCGCGGCTCGAGCTGCGGGGGCAGCGAGCCCCTAGACCTATCCGTAGGGCGCTGGACAACCTGTCCAAGCTCCCCTTCCTCCTCTTCCAAGCTCCTCCTCCTCCATGTTCCTCCTCTCCTCCTCCTCCTCCTACTCCTCCTCCTCCAACCTTTTCATCTTGCTGCTTCTCCTACTCCTCCTCCAAGCTCCACCTCCTCCTCCAAGCTAATTCGCCTCTTCGTCCTCCTCCTCCGCTCT